TGTGGGCTCACTGCTGAATGAGTTGGGTGCCCTGGTGACGGAAGACACAGAGAAGGCGGAGTTACTGAATGCCTTCTTTGTTTCAGTCTTCACTGCTAAGGCTGATCCTCAGGAACCCCAGTCCCTGGAGGTACAAGAGAAAGCCTGGAGAAGAAAAGACTTTCCCTTGGTCGAGAAGGGTTGGGTTAGAGATCATTTAAGCAAACTGGACACCCACAAATCCATAGTCCCCAACAGGATACAGCCACAAGTGCTGAGGGAGCTGGCAGATGTCATTGCTAAGCCAGTCTCCATCATCTTTGAAAAGTACCTGAGGACTGAAGGAAAGCTGGTGTCACTTCAGTCTTCAAAAAGGGCAAGGAGGAGGACCCAGGGAACTACAGGCCAGTCAGGCTCACCTCCATCCCTGGAAAGGTGATGGAACAGCTCATTCTGAATGTCACCTCTAAGCAAGTGGAGGAAAAGAAGGTTATCAGGAGTAGTTAACATGGATTCACCAAGAGGAAGTCATGCTTGACCAATCCGATAGCCTTCTATGATGGCATGGGAGGCTGGGTAGATGAGGGGAGAGCAGTGGATGCTGTCTACCTTGACTTCAGCAAGGCTTTTGACATTGTCTCCCATAACATCCTCCTAGACAAGCTCAGGAAATGTGGGCTAGATGAGTGGACAGTGAGGTGGATTGAGAACCAGCTGAATGAGAGAGCTCAGAGGGTTGTGATCAGCAGCACTGAGTCTAGTTGGAGGCCTGTAGCTAGTGGTGTTCCCCAGGGGTCAGTACTTGGCCCAGATTTGTTCAGCTTATTCAGCAATGACGTGGATGAAGGGACAGAGTACCCTCAGCAAGACACAAAACTGGGAGGAGTGGTAGATACATCAGAAGGCTGTGCTGCCATTCAGCAAGACCTGGACAGGCTGGAGAGCTGAGCAGAGACAAACCTCATGAAGTTCAACATGGGCAAGTGCAGGGTCCTGCACCTGGGGAGGAACAACCCAATGCATCAGCACAGGCTTGGGGCTGACCTGCTGGAAAGCTGCTCTGTGGAGAGGGACCGAGGAGCGCTGTGGGATGACAAGTTGGCCTTGAGCCAGCAGTGTGCTCTGGCTGCCAAGAAGGCCAATGGGATACTGGGGTGCATTAAGCAAAGCATGGCCAGCAGGTCGAGGGAGGTGCTCCTCCCCCTCTTCTCTGCCCTAATGAGGCCACATCTGCAGTACTGCATCCGGTTCTGGGCCCCCTAGTTCAAGAAAGACGAGGAACTACTGGAGAGAGTACAGCGGAGGGCTATGAGGATGAGGAGGGGACTGGAGCATCTCTCCTACGAGGAAAGGCTGGGGGAGCTGGGCTTGTTTAGTCTGAAGTAGAGAAGGCTGAGAGGGGACCTTAGAAATGCTTATAAATATCTGAAGGGTGGGTGTCAGAAGGATGGGGCCAGACTCTTTTCAGTGGTGCTCTGCGACAGGACAAGGGGCAATAGGCACAAACTGAAGCACAGGAAGTTCCATCTGAACATGAGGAAGAACTTCTTCACTCTGAGGGTGACAGAACACTGGAACAGGCTGCCTGGAGGGCCTGCAGAGTCTCCTTCTCTGGAGATATTTAAAACTCGCCTGGATGAGGTCCTGTGCAGCCTGCTTTAATTGACCTTGCTTTGGCAGGGGGATTGGACTAGACGATCCCCAGAGGTCCCTTCCAGCCCCTACCATTCTGTAATTCTGTAACGTAAAATGAGACTAGAAAACCAAGGTGTCATTTTCAGGACTGCGATTAGCTCTCTTAACCTATATATGCAAAGCTACCACCACATGGAAAAGATACTTTAGATGACAAATCAAGTATAAAGACATGACCTGAAGTGACTAAAGAACCTGTAGCCTACCCCTATGAACAATCAGACAACAAAGTACACAGCCCCCATGACAGAGCTTAATTTAGTCTAGTTCACACCCTACAGATTTATATAAACTTTTAAGTATAATAAATAGGTAACAAAATAGCTAGAGAAGTACCTGGATCAGGGACTTTACAGTTACACCGTTACAAAGATTACTTAGCTATAAGCGATTCTCCTTCTTATATGAAAAAGATTAAAGACAGACTATACATTCATGCAGAGAGACTCACAGCATAGTCTCTCTGCAGGGAGACTAGCAAACATACTGTAATACTCTTGCTATGCCAATCCAGGGTAAGCGTTTAAATATAAGCCTAAAAAAAGCTTCAAGTAGTATTTATTTGATATTTTTAACATCCAGTTGCTGCCATGGTTAAGAAATTACTTGGATGCATCAACCTATCTGCCCTTAAAGGGCACAAGAACAAACCCATATAACTTATTTCAATCCATTTCTAAGTGTCAGAGATTTTGTCAGCCATAATCAGTTTTAAATTACAAGTCTACTGTTGTACAGAACAGAGTTTCACAAGCCAAAGGACCAATATGTTTGCATCTCTTCAAATTACTGGCAATAGTTACTAATGCATAAAAGAAGTATTATGTTTTTTATTAAAGACAAACTTCAGTTAAAACTTGCACGTATCAATGATAAAGAATAACACTCCTTGATGCTGACAGATCTTGGTAAGTCCTTTGCCCACCCTTCCTCAGCGTACCTCAGAGTGACAAAAATGATATACTAAAAGAAGCTATATGTACAACATACATATCTACAGAGCATTCAATTTTCACAATTCAGCTATGTTTTGTCACAGTTGACAGACTTAGAAGTACACCACCTGAAATGATTCAACAAGAAAGGCAGCCTTACATGGTGAACAGAGAAATTTCAAAAGCACAGTATGCAGCATTCCATTGAACTGAGGCATATAGCAGAGAGTTTACTCTTCACCCTGTATTTGCACTATTTTGATAGGTTAAGGAGAGTTTCATGTGAGCTTCGAAACAAAAGTTTCAAATTACTCTTTAGCAACTGACTGACTACTCCTTTCCCCCATTCAACCCTGTCCAGTTTAAATTTTGAAGTTGCCTTTTCCTATTCAGTTTGACATACTTCCTTCTGCTCTGTTAATATGTTAAGAGGTCACTCACCACATATAATCATTTTGTCTCCTTTACAGTACACAACAAGCCAGTAGCAATTACAGCAAGGGAAGGATGAACAAAGGAGAATCACGTTATATACTCTCACTGTTGATTAAGACTACACTTCACTGGTATTTCTCCTTTAGCCCCTAACGATATTAATCAAAATAAAAGTGAGATCAGTTCCCCGGTAACAACAGTGTGTCGGTAAGGACATTTTACAGGGTCTGTAACGCAGCTCTCAACAGATCTTAAGACCTATCCCATTATTAAGAAGGGGAAGCTGAGCAGAGAGAGATTTTTGGGGCAAATGCTTCACAAATCTGAACTGCAGCCCCTCAGCCACCAGGCCATTGCAAAAATACACGATGGATGACAGAAAACATGGGCTAATGACTTCTGAATGACAGGTCTCAATTTCCAGAGACACTAGGATGAATGAAAACAAACTCAGCACTATCCACACCTGGACTAGGAAGACCTGGGATCTCCAACAAGTACACATCTCATTTATAAATACAAACAAAGTGTTTGCACTAGAAGCCATCACAGTTCAAATTGCTTGTCCTCTGCAATGAAGCTTTACTTTGGCAAACCATGTATGACAACACTAGGTCAGATATCTGAACAAGCAACTAACCAAGCCTCTCTCCACACATGCAGCAGGTCACAGGTCACCTATGGGGTATGCACTGGACAGCAGCACTACTTTAGGCAAGAGTATGCAACCCGGCAAGCGATGGTATCTTTGTGGACACTGGCATACTGCCACCTCTGTAGCACTGATACAAATATCACTTCTGTATTACTGATGCTTCTGGACAGATTCTAACTGTGGGAGGATGCTACAGGGAGAAAAAATGGGATCCCTGCAGTTACATGAAATAAACTCCTGGCACAGCAACTTAGTCATACTAGCAATCAGGTATTTCAAATGAGGCCTGGCCAAGAGCACCAGGTCTTCACTTTGGGTAAGAATGAAGAGGAGACTTACTGCCCCAAGCAGGAAACAAGAAGAACCAAAAGTGCTGATAGTTAAGACTGCACTTACCCGAAACTGCTCATTCTTGTACGATATCAGCACAACTTTGACTTTTTCTAGAAACAAACAAACATATAATTTAAACACAGAATGGATCAACTATATAAGGGAACTCTGTATCCTGGCAAACTGCTTAGTTCTGCTGAATACACACTCCAGGAAGACATCAGTCAAACAAAGTAATAAACCCTGACTCAGACAAAAAGCTCCTTATTTTGGGTTCAAAGACTTCTGGTGATGGAAAAGCAACCACCGGAACAATTTACCAAAGTTTTCCCACTGTTTTGCACTTTGCACCTCAGATTATGTCCAGGCTGAGTTACCGGTGTTATTTTTTTTTTTTAATACAATCGGCAGCTAGTGATTTTTCTGTCCACATGCAAATTATTTTGAAACTGGCTGAACTGTCTTTATCCTGCTCTTGCTCAAGTTATGAATCTACTGAGTTTTGAGGTCTATAAAAGGACAATAGCCTTCTTTGTCAGTAGTGGTCTCAATAGCAAAACTGAGGCCATCAAGACACTACAACTAATTTTTACAGTGCTTGGTCCTAAACCATCCCAGTATAACTGTTGCTGCTGATTAGGATACTGCATATTCAATAGAAGTAAAAGATTTTATGCTACAAATTCAGTGAGCCAATACCAAAAAAGTCAGTCACCCCAAGAATCCACCAAGGCCCAAGAATCCACCAAATTCCAAAATCTCAACTGAAGTTGTATCTTTATGCATTGTCAGGGCTAGAAGATGACACTGTTAAACTGCTTTCTCTAGCATGGGACTTCTCTAATCCTTGTATCTGCCATTGTTCTAGGGACACCTACCATGGAATTCCTTGTGTTTCTGACAGGCCTCATGCTGTGGGGTTTGAATCTCCCATGCATCATTGTCCAACTCCGCATTTGTTTCCACCTCTTCCTGCTCCTCTTCCTCATCCTCGTCCTCATTTTCTTCACACAAGTTATTGCCCAGCTGACGGCTCCAGTACGTCTTTCGTAGCCAGTCCACCACAACATCACAACCTAAGGGAAAAGAGAAAACGTTCTGTTCTCAGTGAGGCTTTCTTTGTTAATGAAAAAAAAAACAATACAGGTGGCACATTGCTAACTTGCATTGTCAAAAGAAATGCTGTTAACAAGTTACGAATCCCGAAATCACACAGAACTTCATTGATGAAAAAGTGAATGAGTTTAAAAAAAAAAAAATCAAAACAACAAAACAACAACAAAAAAACCCACAATCCAGTATCACAGGCTTGGTAACACCCACCCACTGTCTTTTTGCCAACAAAAAAGATTTGGCACTGCTATAGTGTTGCATCTTGCTCAAGCTAGGCCAAATTTTATTAGAAACTCAGTCCCAACAGTGGCGTTCTGCTGAGAAAATGAGTCAATTCTTTAGTATCACCATGATCAATGTAGTGTTTATAACAATATCAATTTTTTATGCAGAGACTACACTAGGCATACATTAGATAGAACGGAAAGAAAACCCCTTTTCTCCCATCGCCATTTCACTACCCAACTCAATCCAAGGACCCTGTTGAAGGTTGTTTAACCAGCTCCTCAGTGCTTAACCCAAAATTCCCAGGAATCCCTTCAAACACCATGAGCTGGTCATTCATTCAGGCTTGTAGTACCTACTGCATTAGTCCCTAAATGAGATTTTTAAGAAGTCTCAGTTATCTCCAAACCATCAGGAAAAGCATTTACCTCTTTCCCCGAGATGAACTTCCTGTGCTGTAAAGAAGCAAGAGGCCCAAACTACCATTTGCAGTACTTTTTTCAGCGGAAGAAGAAATTCTCTGAACACCTGCCCTGCGATGCACCACAGCCTGCAGCCACCCGGACACAACTCAGCTACCCCCACAGGCCAGCGGCAAATCCTTGTGGTGTGGCACACAACTCTCCCGGCCAGGAAGAGCCTGCTGCCTGACCTGCAGGGCCCCAGATGGAGGTAGGGGTGCTCCCCTTAGGTCCTGCAGCACTGCCTTTGCCACCCCAAGCACACCTCAAGCCAGGCCCTCCCCATGCCGCCTACCAGCAGCACTCACCCTTGCGGCACAGAGCCAGCCGCGGCAGCTTCCCATGGGTCAGCTCGTGACGGAGATCCACAACCCAGATGGGGATATCGACCTGGAAGAACAGCAATGGGTGTTATCCCATGGTTCCCACTGCATCATGCCATTATCGCATGCAGCCCTGTAAGGCTGCAGAGAACCTCTACTTGGTGGGAATGGCCTCTTCTGGCCTATCCCTGCACCACAGTTCCCCAGCTTCCCACTTCAAGGGTGGGCTGAGATCCCCTCCACTCTAATCCCACTCCTCCTGTGGCCATAGAAACTTGGCATTTTAGAGTTTAAGCTCTTCAACATTACTTGCAACAACAGATGTCTTTTCAGACAGAGGTGCTATGTATCATTTCATGAGATACTGAGAAGCAGTTAAACTATATTTAAACTGATGAAACATTCTGGATGACAGTTTGTATATCAAAGATACAAATCATATCATACATAATACTCAAAACATACACACTCTAAGTTACACGCAATTTTTTACAATTTTCCTAAGGACAACTTTAACTACCGAAGACCTCTATTTTTAAGCTTGATCAGTTTTAAAATGTGAGAAGCAGCACTCTTCTTAAAAACCAAGCAAAAAAAAAAAAAATTCAATTCATCATTCTCACATAAGGTCCACAAAGCTGCATATATAGGAGTCTCAAATTCTGCCTGTTCCTCACTTTCAAAACTTGCTGTTTAGACTCAGATATGATGCTCAGTGCAGCTGGCAATAAAAGGGACTCAAGTCGGTCCTGCTACTACAGCTACACCTTGAACCTTCCTTCCTCCACACAGAAGCGGACAACCACAGCTTAGCTCTTTTTCCCCTCAGTGGCTAAGCAACAAAAATATGTGGTGTATATGTCAAGTGGGACTATTTACATGTAAATCAAGACTTTTGATCACACAATTCAAAATGCTTGAATGATCATCAGCCTTTGTTACTCCTAAACTGACTCTAAAGAACAAAGTTTTAGATCTAGTTACACCAGCCTCTTTAAAACCGCAGTTGGAAAGAACTGGCATCTACATCTATTATCTTGTTTACAAAAGAATGACCCCCCACAACTCCACCTACCCACTGTTGTCAACAGACAATGCACATGCTCTCTGTATATACATAAACTATCGAGTAATTCTTACTAAATATTTACCTCTCTGGCTAATTGTCTCAGAGGAATGCTGACAATTTTCTGTTTCCTTTCCGTGATCAAGTTGACAAACCTGCGTGCAGATTACAAAAAAGATAAATGACTATCAAGAGCTGCAGAGGAACTTGGAACCCCAGAGACAAACTCCCCACATGCTAGAACTTGGAACCCCAGAGACAAATTCCCCACGTGCTGTACAACATTGTGGTCCCGCAGATGCAAAGGGAAATCAGACAGATGAATGATACTGTCTGTCCAGGTGTCTCTCACAGCACACATGCCTTCAGAGCCCTACCTTACAAGAGCCAGTCCATAAGAGAGGATGAGCTCATGTGACTTCAATCTGCCAGATGAATCCAGGACCTTGCAACGAACCAGTTCAGCAGTGCAATCCACCGCAAGAGGCATTTTGGGACCATACCTAGAGATAAAACAGGTGAGCAGCCTCACAAGAATACAGCCCCCCAGCAAAACGGGTAGCTTTCTGGCTGCTTTTTGTGCTCTGTGGTATGCAACAGCCTGAGAAACAGCATGCAGAAAGACAGTATCAGGGGCCTTTTTCCAGAAGGCTTTTATATGGCACTGAGTGATTATGTGGCTACTCCTAAGCGTACGTTCAACAAGTACTTACTGATCTGCCAAGCACACACACAATACAACACGCCATCCTAGACTGGTCTTGTGTATGGACGCAGCAGGAGCAACACTGTGCAAGCTGATATGGCAGCCTTGGATACACTCATTGCAGCACCCTGCCTCGACAGACCAGACTGCGACGCTGCGGGCACGCAGGGCTTCCGCCTCCCCTGCTCTCCACGGGGCCAGCCTACTTCTGGCATGAGCCCCAGGCCCCAAGCCCGCTGCACGAAGTAGGCGCCCTGCAAGACGGAGCTGCCTACCCGGCAGCACCGGCGGCCTGCACACACAACCCCGGCCGCGGAGCGGCACCGGG